GGTAAACTCTCCTTTTTTTCCTGAGTCCCAGCAAGAGCTCCCCGTTCAGCCAGGCCGGTCGTCTTCCCCGCCTGTTCTTCTTGCGGCATACAGGGACAGCCTGCTCCTGCGCCTTTAAGACTTCCTTCTTGAAGAACATCCAGCCTTCCTGGACCCCTTTGCCCTTCAGGACTGTCTCCCAAGGGACTCTCAACCAGCGTCCTGAACAGGCCAAAGTCCGCCCTCCGGAAGTCCATGGTTATGCAGGGCCGCTGGAGAGCTTTAACAGCTTTATGCAGGAGAAAGACAAACAGCTAGAAGCAGAGGTATCTTGAAGCTGCTGCATCCAGACCTGTTTGTGGCCCCAAGTTTGGCTTTCAAGCCCTACACAACAGCTTCGGAGTGGTTAACCTCCTCCGCATTTTGAAGCCATTGCCCCCCAGGGGTAAACACCATGCAAGCCATTAAAATGAACATAGGTCTTCCGATTTCTTTAAACACCACATCCAACTTTTCCTTGCTAGCTTTATTCCTCCCAACCCCTACCACCTCCATGTCTGCCCTGCCAGCCTTATGCCGTTCTCCACACGCGTGTTAAGAACTATTACACGAGCCCTCCATTACCAGGTCAGAAACTTCACAGGCCTGTCTCACCCCGAGATCTGGGCTGATCAACGAGCAGACGCCCATTCCCCCTTGTGTTCTGATCGATTCCCTTTATCAGGGAGTGTAACATCATCTGAACAATACACGATGCTTGTAAATTACATCTGTATATGGACTAATTAGAGTCTGGTTCCCAGTGCACATGGCTGACTATTTAAATAAATGATCCTAAAGTTGCCTGTGTTTTGAAGATGGTTAGGGCCAGTCAAACCTGAGGAGTGGATTGCTGGGTGTCTAAGGTTCAGGTGCTCATGGAAGCTTTTCCTGCAGTAGGTGTGCTCTTCACATGTCTCAGACTGATGACCAAAAAAAAGCTATTCCTCTCCCTCAGACACAGACATGCTTCTCTCTTCAGCAGTTATCGATTTGTAAAGAATCTGTAATAATACTATGACTTTTTGAAGACATATTTAACTAAGAGGCCCCAAATTTACCAGAGCAGGTAGTTAATTAGCTAGAGGGAAGAAAAAGGGCAGGGGGAAGAGACAGGAGTTCTGTTTTAATTTCCTTGGTAATCCTGGGTATTCTTGGATATACCTGAATAGAATTACTCTATTCAAATCCAAATATCCACACACCAGGAACGTCAAGACCTGGCAGCTTTACACAGGTGCTGTGCAACAATCATACATCAAACACAACACAGTAACTATAAACATTGCAGCTGTATTTTCAGAGTGATTCCCCAAAAGATAAGATCAATTACTATCAACAACAAAGACAATGTTTTATTGAACAAATCTATGTACAGTACAAAAAAGTTTTTAAAATGAAACACTACTGTTGATTTATTGCAGTTTGATGGCTCAGTTTTAATTTGTACTCTTATATAAAATGCAAAGTAAAATAATTTAACATTCAACAAGGAAGCACAAATTTCCTTTCTTGCTGAACCTGTAACAGCTTTTACAAATTAACAGAGTCCCAAAATGCATACACTGCATTTAATCAGAAAGGTGTTATACAGTACCAAATAAATTAAGAAAATATAACACTACCGCCCCCTTTGAGTCTTTTGTCCATACCACTGGTGTTAAACAATAAAAGAAATGAGTACAGCTGAACCTTCAATGTGATATTAAAATCACAAAGTTTAATGTTATAAATTATCCAAACTATACAATTTATAGTTTTAATGAATATGGCTAAATAACCAAAGTACCAGTGACCTTTCCCCACAGATATGACCACTTTCAACCTACTTCCAGTATTTCTTTTTTTGTGAAAGGTGCCTACCAAGCGGCAACTCTGAAAATTAGAATTTACATGACCTTTACAGTGAACTGTGATCGGGTTAGAGTAGACAGTCTTAAAAGGAAAGTCTAAATCCAAGTTACAGCCACCTGGAGGAACGTTATTAGAACACGATTATCAGCAATGAAGTGCACAAACTTTGATCCAACAAAGCTCCTAAGCTCATGTGTAACTTCAGGCAGCTTTAAGGTACTTGCATGCTTACATTACACATGTACTTCAGTACTTATTGAATCAAAGTGATACATCCTGAAGAAGTATTTCCAATTACATCATACAATGCTTAATGCCTGGGGGGAAAAAAAACCTTTCAATTCTAGATTTGGAACCTTTTTCAGCCCTGGAAGTTGCAGGCTTAGTATAGGGTAACACTCAACATACTAAAGAATCCTTAAACAGCATGTAGAATTATCCCCCACACATTACCAGTATCTTTTTGCTCCTAATTAAAGTTGCTTAATAGTGCAACTATCTGAGAGTACCAATAGGTATCAGAGAGCATTTTAAGGAAAACGCAATGTCTTCTGAAGTAAAAAATCATTACTTAAACCAAAAATGTTACCACCCACTTGCTACTTTAAGTCAATTTAGCGTATTTCTGATAGGTGTTAGGTGATGCTAATGTTCACCTACGTAAGAATTCAGTTTTCCAGTTCTCCGAAGTGTATATACTGAACACATGGTATAAACAAATGGTGGTGTCCAAGAAAAGCATCTTTGAACAAAAAACACGTTTAATGCAGGTACAAAAAATTATGGTCACAGTTTATGCATGTACATAGATGCATTTATCTACACACTTCAGCCAAAGAAAATACAAGTCTCAATCATGTTTTTAAAGCATCTTCAAACACGTGGAGCTCCAGGAAAAGGCAAAAAAGCACCAAAGATTAAAGGTACATTTAAAAGACTTTACACAAACATTTTTGTCATATCTATTGACTGAGTTTTCAGATTTTTAAAACTGTAATACTTTAAAATTAACATTTTTTTTCCAGATATATTTAAGCAAATTTAACTAGATTAACAATGTTAAGCAAAGAAGGGGGAGCCTGGGAACATTCAAGATGGTAACTGGGTCCTTAAAAATTAGTCGGTAACTTGAAAGCAAAAAATGTGAGAGTGCATTGGGCTGATAAGGTCCCCATTAATTTTATGTTTAAAAACTTTTAATGTATTTATATATGTAAATATATATAGTGTATATATGTATATATAATGAAGGATGCATTTAAATCAGTTTTTTTGCAACTGCAAAAAAAAATTCTTTGGTGCCTCAAATGTCATACAAATCTCTGAAAGTGGGCCAGTCATCGGTATTAATGTAATGCACACATACCTGTGATCATAATTTTATAACCTTTTACATTAATCCAACTCAAAGTTAAGGCAAATTTTTTCTAGAATTCAAAAGAGTATGATTTTGAATTTGTGTTCTTTTTACCTCCCAGGAGGGGAAAAGGAAGCAGAATCAATGCAAATATCTGTTTAATTTCACAGAGGATTATTAGCAGAGGCATTACTGAACTATTAAGTTTAAGTTTCAGAACTACTTAACAGCCTATTTTACAATGAAACCCTTAGGTTTGCAAGTGTGAGCCATTGCTACAATGAACAGATCTTTTATGTACCTCTTGATTTTTTACTCATTAGTTTTTACATATCTGTTGATTTAAGCAAGTTGATCATCATCTTATGCCATACACGCATTGTGATGAACTATTCAGTAAGCAAACTAGCTGAGCAGGAACAGTTGGTCTTTGCTGTCCTACATTTCTGTGATGACTCCATCTGTACACACCAGCTTTCACCGCTATACCTTCCGTGCCTACAATCACATTAAAATTTTCAGCTACCCGCATAGAACAGGATCCCAAATAAAACATTTTCAGGTGGCAAGACAGTGTAAGATAAATTAGAGGATAAATTAGCACAGTAATTAGACAATGTGCATGTTTGCCACACCTCTGTTTGGGGTGGGAAGACCATGAACTACAACAGCATCTTTTCTGGTTTCCAAATGTCCTGTATTTCCATGTTACATATAGAGCTGAATGACTCAGATTTCCCATCTTCACATTCTGATTGTTTCTATGAACAGTGAATTTTGGATAAAGTGCTTAAAGTTTAAATCTAACTCCTTCACTAACTTCTGGGAAAGGCTATCTTTTCAAGAGATGCTACTAGATCCGGTTGTAATGCGTCTTAAGGTTGAGTCAATACGTATTTTCTCCCTTCCTCTAGACAGTAAGTAAGTAGTTACAGTACTGAGTTGTGACCTACCACCATTAAGCAACATCACAAACAGGCTCTTCCTGATCTTTTTTTTCCCCAACTTGACATATGCTTTGCTTTTGACTGCCCTTTTTTTTTTTTAAAACAGGAAGCCATCTCAAGTTCTTTTCAGTCATACCAACAGCTGAAGGACCTCTGTATTCACATAAAATTAGTTTAACTCTGCCCTGTAATGCAAGCTTAACCTCCTTCACATTCTGTATTTGTTTCAATCTGCTCCTGTTAATATCCACACAATCTGTGCATGTACTGCTTGTATTAGTCTTCCTGCACCTACAATAGATGTTTTACAGGACATTCTTAACATACACATTTACCATAGCCTTGAAAAGGGCTTTTCTTATGCACAGTGGAAATCAGATGCATGCAACTTCCACACTTCATATCACATGAACTCACTTTTCCTTGCATGCTCTGTACTTCCAAGTTTTTGGCTATTTGAGCATTCCATCCATCTTAGATTTCTTTCTACATTCCTCTTTCTGGATTCTGAGTGTAAGTTTACTAAATGAGCTCCATGCTTTTTAGCAGATAATGGAATCATACTCAAACTTTGAAAAAAAGAATGCATGGTTCCTCTACGCATTTCTTATCCATATTATAATAATGTAACAGCTTCTTGAATGATTCCTTCCCAGCTGTGTGGATGGATATCCTTTAACCACACATTTTCCAACTAAAGTAGCTTTCAGAATTGGCTGGTTTTATTTCCATAAGGCAACTAACACCTCTGCTTTCTCTGCTTGCTCAACTGTATGCCTTATTTTCCTTAAACCTTCATGCTAGAAAGACTGTGCCACTAAGCTTCAATCACACATTTGGAATGAATGTGGCTTTTTGGATAACTGGTACTTTGGGGATTTTGTAGTAACCTTTCTGGACTCAAGACCTGCAGAGCTCCTACTACTCCTCTGTGAGTTTTGTCTAGAAAATGTGCTTTGTCTTTATCAAGGTCATGTTTTTCTTTAGTAATTTGAGACTGCTTTATGATTAAGGCCAACTGGGAAATTAACTGATGCTTCTTCATGTAGTGTTTTCTTACACCACTCCTCGTTCGATACATTTTCCCACAACATTGAATCAGGCACCTGCAAAAGAAAATGCATTGGGATCAAAATGAAGACTAACCAATGTAAATCATTCTTTAATCTAGAACACTGCTTTTGTTTTCAACATGTTTAGTTTCAAACATGCAAGGAAAGACAGATTGAATTACCCCCTTCTGTCTTACGAGAAGTCTTTTCCATTAGAGTTGTCTACCAATTCTCAACACCTCTTTCTTACTCTAAACAGCATGTCCAATTTGAACTTCCAGTTTAGCACAGTACTGTGATTTACTTGTCTAAGTTCTAGCATACTACAATTGCTTAGAAGTTGTGTCTGTCTTAACTATTCCATCAGGTTGCCTGTTTTCAAAGACCGTTTTCTGGTTGGTATTTTCCTCCAAACAAACCAACCCAGAAGGACTGTAAGAC